TCACCATGTTGACCAGGATGGTCTCGATCTCTTGACCTCGTGATCCACCCGCCTCGGCCTCCCAAAGTGCTGGGATTACAGGCTTGAGCCACCGCGCCCGGCCCTTTCTTTTTTTTTTTTATTGTCTCCTAGATCCTTGTTCTTTATAATTTTTGTATTTTTAGCAGACACGGGGTTTCACCATGTTGGTCAGGCTGGTCATGAACCCCTGGACTCAAGCGATCCGCCTGCCTCAGCTTCCCAAAGTGCTGGGATTACAGGCACTTGTCACCACGCCCGGCTAATTTTTGTATTTTTAGTAGATGGGATTTTGCCATGTTGGCCCAGATGGTCTTGAACAACTGACCTCAGGTGATCCGCACCCCCGCCATCTCTGTCTCTCTCCCTCTCTCCCTCCCTTCCTCTCTCTGTCTTCCTCTTCCTGTAAAGGCACTAATTGGCTGGGTGTGGTGGTTCACACCTGTAACTCCAGCACTTTGGGAGGCTGAGGCAGGCAATCACTTGAGGTCAGGAGTTCGAGACCAGCCTGGGCAACATGGTGAAACCCCCCTCTCTACTAAAAATATAAAAATTAGCTGGGTGTGGTGGTGCACTTCAGTAATCCCAACTACTTGGGAGGCTGAGGTGGGAGGATCACCTGAGCCCAGGAGGCGGAGGCTGCAATGAGCTGAGATGGCCCTGTTGTACTGGACCAAGCGTAGAAAGTTAGCACCAAGACAAAGTATGCCAGATTGCAGGGTCATTTATTATGCCGGCGACCACAGAGGACTCCCGTCTCTCCAACCTGCGGCGTCGAAAGGAGGGTGCCAAGACTTTTTATACCCGAAAAACCACCTTGGGAGTGGGGGTGAGGAGCAGGGATGGGGATGAAAAGGTTTCAGACATTCCAAGGGCCAGGGGATTCTGTAATTCACCTCCTGGGAGGAGACGAGGGTGGGGGTCTCCGGACATTCCAAGGGCCAGGGGACTTTTGTCATTCTGTTTGTTACTTCAGTGGTTTACAGAAGTCAAGATATACATTTGTTTACACATTGTCTGGGTGGTAATAGAAGTCACAGATCTTAGTTACTTATTACAAGTCACAGGAGCCAGGATGGAATTAGCTGGGCT